CTATAACATGTCCTACAATAATAAATAATAAGATTGCAGATTTATGGTGCCAACAGAAATTTAAAATTTTTTTAAGTGTTATTGTAACAACCCTCGTCACTGTTTACCGATTAATCACTGATTACTGCTAAACTGAGAGTACTGAACTGATTGACTGAAATCTGGAACTCAATTGATTAAGTATATCTGTTTAATTGTATGCCTATCTGTTGACTGTTTGATTATCTGTTCATGCTTTTGTGTTTAAATTGCGAATTGAAGACCTTATCGGCGCCCGAATCTGAAATCGATTGATGTTCTATGATCATTAGGATTAATATGATTTTATGGCGTATTTATCTAAAATGTGATTTGGTATGATTACATTAGGCTAAAGGGTGTTAAATTGCATAGTTGGACTTATTTGTCAAAATGCCACTTAGTGGCCCACTACATGGAACATTTGAGATTTGCCTTCATTCTATTTTGTACACTTCATCAGCCTTGTTCAGTGTATAACCGGCTAGAGAGTGAGGGAGAGTAAGAGAAGTGAGTTCAACTTGTTTTCATCTTGATTTTGCTTGGAGGCTTAGGGAAATTGAAAGCTTAAGTGCATAATTGAGCCTCTAGACTTGTAATTGAGGAACCTAGGTATGAATTTCATCTTCCTTATTGTGTATTTAAGTTCCTTCTAGCATGGATCATGGTAGTTTAAAGAGTTAAGTCAAGAATTGGTTCAATAGTGTTGAATTGAAGCTTAATTATTGCATGCATGGTATACTCTTGCATTTTAGAGCTTGTTCTTCATAAATTTGCCACATGTTTTGATCATAAACCATGTTTTCACCTTGTCTTTGAAAGAATTGGCTCATTAGAGCATGAAATTGAGCATTGAAATGGTTTAAATTCATGCATGTTTGCATGTTTTTCATATTCTTGAAAATTGGTTTGAAATTGAGTTGTTTGAAACACCCTTAGGCTTTGATTTTACAATTGAGCTTTGGAATCATGTTAAACTATGAGTTTTGGGATGTTTTCTGGAAAATTGGCCTACGAGGATTGAAATTTATGTTTTAAAAGTTGAATTTGAGCTTGAGGTTCAAATCTGGGAATTCCAGATTTTGAACTCATGCTCGAGCAGGGTGACTGGCACTCGAGTGTGAAATTCGTGCTCCCAGTACTTTGCACTGTTTTGAAGTCCGCTCGAGCGGAATAATTGACGCTCGAGCGGGACCTTGTGTCTTACGCTCGAGCGGGTGTCGAGCGCCCAATCGGGCGTGAATTTCACCTATCCAGCACTTTTGACTGTTTTGAGGTGCGCTCGAGCGGAAACCTTTGTCTGCATTTCCGCTCGAGCGGAGTAACCTACACTTGAGCGTAACCCCTATTTTTTGAAAATTCTGAAAATGCTTTTAAAGTGCATCTTTGTATCCTCATCTCATCCTAGGCATTATTAGGCAGAGTTTAAGGCATCTTAATGAGGATATAGATGTAGAACCACACCGAGGCAAATTAGGGATTAAGTTATTATCTTTCCCAACTGTGTAGCTTAGTGTGTGTTCAATCTGTAACTGTGTAGGGTTGGCGACTGGGGACGCGCTCTAGCTTTACTGTAGCCCAGAACTCTGTGAGTAACAACTGTGTAAAGATATGTTCAAAATGATTATCTTCTGAACAATTGAACTGTACTGCTTTCTGAACTGATACTGTTAATTGAATGAATGTATGTCCTATATTCTGAACTGTATTGTGGCATCCTTAGCAACTACTGTTTACTGTTACTGTTACAGAGATCTCTGTCGGTTCCCTTGTTGGAACCACTACTGTTACTGATTGATGGCCATCATTTACTGTTCGGTCTTTTAAGACCTACTGTTTACTGTACTGTTATGCTAATGGGTGTACCACATATGACTGAATGACTGATATACTGAATTAATGAACTGTTTTCATTACTGTAAGGACATTCATTCTTAACCTCTTTACGCATTATGTTATTCATTGGGTTTTAGCTCACTGCTCATATATATATGTAGGTGTACAGGCACCAAACCGTGGCTAGAAGCGTCGGGGTTAAGCTCCAGTTTTGTCAAGCCAACCATTGTACCTCACTGCGAGGTTCTGAACCTGTCAAGTTATGGCTTAGGGGTGTTTTAATTTCTCCGTCTGTCTCTGTATCTGTTTGTATAACTGTATAGACTGTTACTGGACTGTTTAATAAGGATTAGGTCCCTGAACTGAATGATTATATATATGTACATGTTGTTCTGTACTATTCATGTATATGTGTATGAAAAGTCTTTTTGGCATACAGACTGTCACAGCTCATTGGACATTGTTTATTTACTGTTTTGGCTTCCGCATGCCCCTGTACTCTGTATTCCTGTTTTACTGTTAAGCAAGCCTTTGGTAATCTCGGATTACTGGCCGGTTACGGTGCTAAACCCATAGGGGCGGATTTGGGTCGTGACAATTATATTAAATTTTGGGAGGTCATTATATAATATACAAATTTTTTTTGAAATAATATATGTTAGGTTTTATTTCTTGGCAATCCCGTTTGACAAAACTCCTTTGAGTTGTAATTTTATTCGCACTTTTTAGTTCAGTGAGGCTATGAGTGTTTAGATGCGAATCCAACCCGAATTTAAAATTTGCTCAACCTTGGAGCGCCAAGACACCCTAACCCCTCTCCCCCTCCCTTGTTTGTAAGGTTAATTTTCATTAATGTCATAACAAATCTTTTTAAGGTCATAACTAAAATAATGAATCGTAACCAAACAATGTATAATCGAAGACTTATTGAATTATAACTAAAATAATGTTGTAGATAATATTACAATTAATCATAACTAACATTACAATGTGTAATATTATAATAGATCATAATTAAATATCACAAACGCCATAACTAAGACATATAATACACATTTAAAGAAAAGACGCTGTGTTTAGTTGGAGAATTTGAAAAATGAAAGAAAAATGTAGGTGAAATATAAATAAAATATACTTATATTTTAGGAAAATTTATTAGAAAATCTTTTTTCAAGTGTTTATATTCCAATTAGTCTATAAGATATTTTTGTATTTCAATAAGTCCTATTATTTGAACATTTGATCTACCAAATCATAATTCTCATATTTAAGGTATTTTATGAACATTTCTACTCTTACAAATATTTTTTGAACGGTTAGTAATTTGATGATGTGAATATTCATATTTTACAATGTGAATATTCACATTATCGTGTATGTGATTCACATTGACATGCTAACATTCACATTAATAGTGTGAATATTCACATTGACGGTGTGAACATTCACATTACGAAACATTCGCACTGTAAATGTAAATATTATTAGGAGTATTTTGGTAGTTATATCACCCATAAGACTTAATGAAATATAAGAAAATAATGTGAATTAAATAGAACATAAATAAGTGAAAAAAGATTTATAAAAAAGTGTTCCTATATTTTATTTAATTTCACACACTTTTTTTTCTTTTTATTATTAAATTCCCCGACAAAATGCAACCTAAAAAAAACAAAAAAAAAAACAAAGAGTCAATCCAATCCTACCTGGCTGTCTTCTTATAGCGTCACTCCCCTTACATCATTTACATGTGTGTCCCTTTGACTCTCCCTGGGGTAACTTCTCAGTTCTATCACGGGCTTTGATTCTTCCTTTTCAAACTCTGATTTTTTTTTTGACCTTTTTTATTTTATCTATTTTTATCCTTTTTTGTGAATTTTTGCTTTTTACTGGATTTTTGACTAATGATCTTAAAAAAAAAATTAACAAAAAAAGTATAAAAAAAAGTTAATTTTGTAAAATTTTGATAAAATCTGAATTATTTTAATATTTTGTTAACTTTATTCAAAACTGACTCAAATCTTATCGTCTCCTCTCTTACTTTGCCACCAACTCCTCCCTCAATCACCCTGAAAAGTCCTCCTCCACCACACGAGATCTTGTCCACCATCCCCAATTTACTATGTTTAATTTGAAGTTTCAAAAATAGTTTTTTGAGTTTTAATTAATATTTTTTATTTGTAGTAAATTTTTTTAACAGTTTAATAAAAAAAAATTTACTTTTTAGATCCACTTAATCTAAATATACTTAAAATTTTAAAAACTATTGAATATAACAAAATTTAAAAATACACTTATTTTTTTATTTTTTGTTTTTGTATTCAATGAATTTTTGAAAGTTTTTTATACAAATTTTATACTTGTTAAGTGTATCTAGATTGAGTAAATCTAAAAGATATAAAAATTATAAAAATATTCAACAAAACAAAAACAAAAAACTATAGATTGAAAATACAAAAAAAAATATATATTTTTTAAAATTTCAAACCAAACATAGTGTGTCACTCTCCCTAACTCCTCTTCTCAACCCCACTAGAAAAAGAGATGAGTAATAGTAGAGGGGGAAAATGGATGAAGTGGTAGTAATAGGTTGGAGAAGATGAGTGATAGTGATGGATGACAGTAAAAAAAAAAAAAAAATTATCTATATTATCTCTTCTCAAACAAATAATAAGAATTGATATATTTTAAGAGTGCAAAATTAAATTTTATTTATTTATATATATTAAAAAATTTAACTAAATGTTTTTTTTTTTTTTTTTAAAAAAAAAAACTTTTATCTAAGTGGGATATGCACTTTTTTTTTCCACGCTGGCACAACAGTTTTTATGTTGTTTGTGTGGAGTTGAGTTTCCTGGAGGCCGCTGATGAGTTCGTCCATGAGTAATTTTAAACGTGCTCTCCTTCATTAATACTTTGCCAAATTACAAAATACAACCGCGTTACCACTGACTTCTCTCTCTCTCTCTCTCTCTCTCTCTCTCTCTCTCTCATCCAAATTAAACAATCATTCAATAATTCAAATTCAATCAACACGCCATGTTGACCCCTCTCACTCGGCCCCACACTCTCTCTCATTAAACTCCTCACTCACTTCGCTCTTCATTCAACCCACACACATGTATATATACAGAGCCGCCAATTCCATATCCCCCACATCTCCAAATCTCTCACACATACACAAAAACAATAAAAACCCAGAAACAGCTGAATCAAAATTCCAAATAAAAAAACACATATTATGGTCAAGCCAGAGTCTTCAAAATCATCAGCCGAGAGATCCAATGATTCTGCCAAATACAAGGGTGTTAGGAAGCGCAAGTGGGGCAAATGGGTGTCCGAAATTCGGTTGCCCAACAGCCGAGAGCGGATCTGGCTCGGTTCCTATGACTCGGCCGAGAAGGCCGCTAGAGCCTTCGATGCCGCCCTTTTTTGCCTCCGGGGCCACTCCGCCAAGTTCAATTTTCCGGAAAACCCGCCTGATATTGTCGGAGGGAGGTCGCTCACTCCATCAGAAATTCAAGTGGCAGCTGCCCGATTCGCCAATTCGGAACCCCGACCCGGATGCCCCAACCGTTCTTTCCCTGAATCTTCCTCGTCTTCCTCGTCGCAAATGCAGGTGGAATCTCCGTCTCCGTCGGTGTCCGACGGAGCGGCCCAATTGGGCAGCGAAACGACGCTGGACGGGTCGTTTTTGGACCTTTTTTCAACTATGGGGTCGGATAATAGTACCATGCCCGGTGGATCATTTGATATATTCCCGGGTTTTGATGATTTCTCCAATGAGTTTTATGTGCCACCACTTCCTAGTGTTGATGATGTTGCAGAAGATAATTGTGACGTCAGCTTCTCACAAGATTCATTCCTCTGGAATTTTAATTAATAAATTCGTCAAAAATGAAGACCACACAAGTCAGTAATGTTATACATATATAGATTTTTTACTCTACTGTTTTGTGTTTTACGACAAGAAAAACAAGTAAGAAATTTTGTGTATAACATTTTTTAAAAATGACAACTGGAGTCAAAATTCCGGAAAATTTTTGTTGCTGGAATTAATGACCACTTTTAAATTTTTATCGCTGGAATTAATGACCACTCTTTCTTACTATCATTAAAAAAAAATAAAAAATAAAAAATAAAAACCTTGATTAGCAATAGCCAAATGGTTTGGCCACTTTTTTTAATGGTCAATCCTTTTTTCTTTTTTTCTTTTTCACTTAGCAATTAAAATTTTGTGACGGTACAAAGTAGAGCTCAATGGTCAACCAGATATAAGTGAATGTGTCCTATATATCTGTAGTCTTGTGATATTGTGTATTCCTTGCCTCATATTGTAATGAAATATACTCTTCTTACCTGCTACAAGTGTTTGAGTTTCTTTCATCTTTTCTCTTGTTTTACTTTTGTTTGAGAATTAATTTAGAGAATCGAACATAATTTTTTTTATATTAATGTGAAACCCACTTAAGATTATATCTAATTCTATAATTGATTTATGAATTCTTGCAATTTTCTTATCTTTTTGCATGTGGAAAGCACTGTAATTTTCTTTGCAAATTCCACTAGCACGCATGCATGAAAGAACAGTCCAACTATCTTTTATGAAATGCTTTATCCATTGACCTTACTTATTATTAATGGTAATATATTAACATAGATGAAGCCCAACAACAACTCTTTTATTGTGAGCAAAACCTCATTACAACCTTAACCAAGTATAGCTTGGTTTTATTTTTTATTTTGTAAGAAAAAGGTAACAATTGAAGTAAAATTAGATATCAAAAGGACATTAAAAAATGAACTAAATGATACAGCAATACATCTATATATATATGGTAGCTTGGAAGTCAACATTTACTGGCCATTATAAACTCATTATCAGCTTTTAACTAGTCAACCAATTCAACAATGATTTCTTTTCATATGTTTTGAATAAATTATTCTATTTTTACCAGCATAGTCAGATGTGGTTTTATAGAGATTGTAATTGATGAAAAAAAAGTAAGAATGAGTCCCATAGCTTTATTTATGCTTATGATTGAGCACGGTATGAGATCAGATGATTGGTTTGTCAAATGAGTCACATGGTGCTTTAAAAATGTTGAATAACTTTTTATATATCTCTAATATTTTCTCTTTTTTTATTTGTACTTCTCTTACATTTTTAACTGGGGAGAGGTTCTCACCATGCATACATGTAGAACGATGAGAAACAAATTCGTTGTCTCCAAATTCAATGTTATTTAATCTTTAGGTAATGTATAAGTCACTCATGGCGCACTCCCTAAGTCGCCCCCTTGGTACACCACTACAACCTTCTACAACGGTTATACACAGTATCATGTATAAGTCACTTATGGCGCACTCCCTAAGTCGCCCCCTTGGTACACCACCACAACCTTCTACAACGGTCCGACATGACCCCGTAAACTGTCCTCCTACAACGGTCCGACATGACCCCATAAACTGTCCTAGTATCATGTATAAGTCACTCATGGCGCACTCCCTAAGTCGCCCCCTTGGTACACCACCACAACCTTCTACAACGGTCCGACATGACCCCGTAAACTGTCTGCTACAACGGTCCGACACGACCATACCGTGTCTTCTACAACGGTCTGACACAACCATACAGTGTCTCCTATCCCATTTTTAATTTTATTTGTCAGCTTATTTTTCTGTTTTGTTACTCTCTCCAAACTCAAGTTGGCTAGTACCTATCCTCCTTGAGTTTGAGGGGGGCTGTTAATGTACATTGTATAATTTACCATCACCTACCACACACTTACCATCACCTACCACACACTCACCTACTACACTCACCTACCACCACCTACTCCCTACACCTACATCTATATAAGGAACCCCTCATTTGTAATACAGAATACACATCAATCAATACATCTATCAATAATACAATTTTCTTTATACATCAATGTTTATCATGGTATCAGAGCAGGTTTAGAATCTAATAATTCTGCTTCACCGGCGGGCGGCAGCCTCGCCTTGGCCGCCCGCCGGACCTCTACACATACCTTCACTTTCCTGCATCCTCCATTTCCTCTCTGCTGCTCGTCAAACATGGCGGCCACCACTGGTAGCCCTGGCATCTCCATCCGACCACATCGCATCTCTGCCTATGCCTGCGTCCTGAGAGATCAGATCGCTCAGGGATTCTGATATTGTCACCGTTAGTCAACATAGTCACTCTGTTGCCCTTCATAACAAAATTCTAGCCACCTGATCTACAATTCAAAATCAACAAACATCCTCGGGACATCATCATCACCGAAGTGACCAAACCCATCAAGCATCATTTACTTGCATCTGTTCGCATTCGTTTGCTAAACATACGGCTGTATCTTGATCAATGTCTCTGTTTCTGTTTCAGCCTCGAGTGACTTTTGATTCTCCACCTCAAATTCTTTTCTAGATTCTTTTCTGCTACCAGATTGCCAAACTCTACCAAAATTAGGGAGCCAGTTAACTTCAAAATTATCAGTAACAATCTCTCCAACCTCTCTTCAAACACTTGCTCAGAAAATCTTTTGCCAGCTCGGAAAACCATCGCGGAAACTCTGGTACATCGCCGGAACACCCAATCCGGTCCAGGGCCGAAACAGGTCGTTCACCTCCGGCCACGGCGGAGACCCGGTGGCCATCTCGATTACAGTGCAACCCAGAGCCCAAATATCGGCCGGAAACCCCTGTTCTTCGCCGGAAACAACTTCCGACACCGAGCCCACCACCGCCATGGCAGTCGATCCCTCCTTCTCTGACTCCTCCTCCACCGCCCTACACATCTCCCAGCCCATGCACCCACCAGACATGATTCACACACCCACCATCGGGACGGCGGCCACAAGCCTGCTCCCGGGGACGGCATTGAACAGGCTCCCCGACCGCACCAGGAGTTCTGCTGCCACACAGCGCCCGCCGTTCCTCCGCTGGAGGATTCCATTCTTGGCGAATCTCATATCGCCCACTCCCTTTTTTTTTCTGATGGAAACCCTTTTTTTAACTCACCCCACTCTCTCTCTCTCTCTCTCTCTCTCTTCCTTTCCCACCCCTCCCCATGTTCCCCACTCACGCTTATCTTTATTTTCCTCCTTTTGCCCAGAACCCGACGCCCCCACCTGATTTGCCTCCCTCTCCTCTCACTTTTTCATTAGTGGTAGGCCCCGCTCACACTCATTTGAATCTCCAATTTCCTCTTTTTTTTTATTTATTTCTTTCCGATTCACCCATTTCTCTTCAATTTTCTTCACAGACTTCTCTTTACCTTTCTTTTCTTTTCTTTTCCAAACACCACAAAAAAAAAAAAAAACAAAACAAACAGTATTTCACGTGTATAAAAAAAAAAAAAAAAAACAAACACACATTCATCATTCTACAACCTCATTTTATTCATGACAGGGCTCACCCCGATCCCCATTTTACACCACAACCAACACAAAAAAAAAAAAAAAAAAAAAAAAAAAAAAAAAAAAAAAAAAAACAAAAACAAAAACAAAACAAAACAACGGCTTTGTTTTCTTTTCTGCAGACGGCCTCACACCGACATCCCTTCTCTACTCTGCCGCCGGTCTCTTCTTCTTGCCTCCGTCCTGGACGGCCCTTGACGGTGTTGCCTCCGTGCTTTCTTCCCTGCTCCTCCACTACAGCATATGGTGGACCTCCAAATCGGAACATCACGGTGGCCTTCCGCTTCAGCTCCTTGTTTTCTGTCTTTAGCACACTTATCTCTGCTCGCGCATCCTTATACATGCGTTGGAGCAGAGCCAGCTGGGAGTTTAACTGTTGCACCTCATTTGTCCTGCTCTGCAGCCGGTGCGACAAGTTTGTGACCGCAATCATGGTTTCCACACATGACTTCAGAGTATACTGATTGGCCTCAATATTAGTTTGCACCGTCATTTTTTGCTCCACCGACCGCATCGGAAAGTTCAACGGAGCAAACACAGAGGTGTTTGGTTGAGGTTCACTGGTCTCCGCACCAGTTCTCTCTCTTGTTGCCTCGTTCAGTTCGGGAAAGAGCGTCAGCAGACCACGGGAAGAAGAGGAAGAAGAGGCCATTGTCTGGGCAATTGAGTTTTTCAGACTCTCTCTCTCAGCACAACGAAGTTTTTTTTTTCAGAGGTTTTTCGCAGCTTTTCTCTGCCTCAGCCTCAGCCTCAGCCTCCGTCTTATAGCCGAGGCAGGCTCCACCGACCGCATCGGAAAGTTCAACGGAGCAAACTCCGGGGCGCTTGGTTGAGGTTCCAGTGCCACCGCACCAGTTTTCTCTCTTGTTGACTCGTTGAGGTCTGGAAAGAGAGTGAGCAGACTCCGGGAAGACGAGGCCATTTTCTGGGCAACAGAGTCGAAGCCATTTTCTCTCGCAACAGAGTGTTACAGACTCTCTCTCTCAGCACAACGAAGAATTTTTCAGAGGATTTCGCAGGTTTTTTTGCCTCTGCCTCGGCCTCAGGCTCCATCTTGGTTAACTAGCCGAGGCAGCCATGCGCATCGCGCGCCTCTTGACGCCAGACAAACGGGCACGCCAGCCAAGGCACTCACGTGTCTCGCCATCATATCTGGCACGCCTTTTCATGGCACATCTTTTGATACAGTGGGCACGCCTTTTGAGGGCACGACTTTTGAGGGCTCGATATATATCTACATGTATATTTTTTGGGCAGCCTCTCTACACACTCATACAGTGTCTTCTACACCGGTCAGCTTTATCAATCCCTTTGTTTCAACCTCAAATAGGTTTCTCTCTTCACCCCTATTTGAGTTTGAGGGGGGGTTATACACAGTATCATGTATAAGTCACTCATGGCGCACTCCCTAAGTCGCCCCCTTGGTACACCACCACAACTTCTACAACGGTCCGACATGACCCCGTAAACTGTCTTCTACATCGGTCTGACACGACCACACAGTGTCTGCTACAACGGTCCGACATGACCCCGTAAACTGTCTGCTACAACGGTCCGACATGACCCCGTAAACTGTCCTCCTACAACGGTCCGACATGACCCCATAAACTGTCCTACTACAACGGTCCGACATGACCCCATAAACTGTCTTCTACATCGGTCTGACACGACCACACAGTGTCTGCTACAACGGTCCGACATGACCCCGGTAGCTTGGAAGTCAACATTTACTGGCCATTATAAACTCATTATCAGCTTTTAACTAGTCAACCAATTCAACAATGATCTCTTTTCATATGTTTTGAATAAATTATCTTATTTTTACCGGTGTGGTTTTATAGGGATTGTAATTGATGAAAAAAAAGTAAGAATGAGTCCCATAGCTTTATTGATGCTTATGATTATGAGATTAGATGATTGGTTTGTCAAATGAATCACAT